TCCTCCTCCTCCTCCTCCTCCTCCCAGGAGCCCCACACACTCACAGCTGCTGCTTCTCACCTCTGCCAAGCTTCCCCAGAGGGCAAGAGCCTGGGATTCTGGAAGCCCGGCCTAATCTGGACAAGACCTCAGGTTCTTCAGCTCCTGCTGCTGCTATTGGGTGAGAGCGGGCTGAGACCATGAATTGGCTGTTTTGCAAGACCAGCTCCTTCACTGGTAAACACTGGTCCTTCCTGCGGGGGTTTGGGGGGAGGACAAGGGCTGGCTGTGCTTGGACCCCGTCAAGGCTGCTCCTACCCTGGGAGTGTGTGCCTCCAGCAGCTAGCCTGGGCGTGGTGGAACACGGTCCTGCTGGCTCCGGAAGGCAGGTTTTGTTCTAGGACTCTGGCTTGCCACGTGGATGGAAGGCAGTGGCAGCGCTGGGCCTGCAGGAAGCTGCAGTGCTCACCGTCCACGGGGCTCGTTTGGCCAGGTCATACAGCCGTCTAGGTGGTGTGACCTCTGTGCTTAAGTACTGGCTTTTCTCAGAGTTCTGGACATTCTCTTGCCCCTTCTCCCACCCTGGGACGGGATCCTGCTCATGCTGCTGGATTTACTGCTGATTTTTTTAGCTGTCACTTTGACATTCTAGACTCACATATCCAAACAGCTAGTGGCATCTCCACTCTGATGTTCTGCCTGTATCTCAGCTCGGTGTGTTGTCCTCAACTGGGTTCTGATCTCTCCCTCTCCATGTCAGAACTGCTCCCTGTGCTGCACCGTCTGTCCCAGAGCTGCTCCTGCCTGGCCCCAAGCAGGAACCCCAGACTCAGCTTTAACTACCCTCCCCCCCAGTCACCCTGCTGATGCCTACATGTCTTCTAGCAGCTGTGGCCACCCTGTCTGTCACATCTGCTTTCTGGGTCCCCCCGTATCACTTGTGGGCTCCACCTTAAACTATTCTACATGTTGCAAAAATCATTTTTCTGTGATTATTATTTTTCTAAAATGTAAATATGACCACAGCATTGGAGGATCCCCTAATCTAAGAGGTCAAGTCTGAACTCCCTGATGTGACCTGCAGGCTTCCCTGGTGTCACCTCTTGCCACTCCAGCTTGGCACAGTGTCTCTTCCAACACACCCATGCAGCTTGCCAGGTCTTGTCTGCAGCATGTGGCTTGTCCCTCTGGTCCTTGAGGGCTCAGTTGAGGTATCATCCCCTGAGAAGCCTTTCCTGGGTGGCTTTCTTCTCAGCCGGGTCCCACACATCTCTGGCCATTCAGTACTCTGCACGGGCATCTCGGGATGCTGATTCCTGCTTGTTCATCTGTCCCTCCACGACACTGAAGTCCTTGAAATAGAGATGGTGCCTTAGCTCCACGGGAGGGCCTAGCACATAGCAGGTGGGAAGTAAACGTTTGGGGTGTGAACTCAGGGCCGTGACAGGGAAGCCTCTCTGCGGGGTTCTGAGAGGGCGGCCAGCCAGTCTGGACTGCGCAGTGGTGGGCCTCACCCATACCCCGGCTGTGCCTCCGCCTCTCTTCCTGGTGTGGTTCTAGGGCGAAGCAAATTTTGAGTCCTTCCTAATGCAGCTGTCGATAGGGAGTCCTGACACCAGGGATGGAGTTTTCATGGAGGGGAGGAGGCCGCCCCTGCATTCTCCCTCCCTGCAGTTTGTATTTCTAGACCTTAATCTCTGTCATCACAGACCACCTCCTATGTGGGTTCCACTGGACCCTGATCTAAAAGCAGCCTCAGTCCTCATCACTGGGTGCTCCGGACTCAAGAGGAGTCATGGCTGGGGCCTATTTGATGGGACCCATTTCCCTGATCTGTTTCTACCCAAGCCCGGATCACTCAGAGGCCCCAGATGGGAAGCAAGCTCCTGACACTACAGGAGAAGCCGGCTCTCAGCCCAGTGCTGCAGATGCCCCCTGGGGGACATACTAGACCCACACCCTGGCCTGATGTGGGGACAGTCACAGACTTGATATTGATAAACATGTTTTCATGTTTTCCTTCACTTTCTAGCAGAGGGTAAGCAGAGAGGGAGCAAGGGGCAGAGGCTGTGGCTGGAACCTTCCCCTACGGAGCCTGTGGCTGAAAGGTTTGTGCTTGGGGGAGAGACTGAGGGGTCCCAAGTCCTGGTGCCCTGGAGGGGAAGGGTCAGCACTGGCCTGTGAAGGGGATTGTTGTGTAAAGCATTCTCATTTGCATTCACACAGTCCACAGCCTCTGACATTCTTAGTGGAGAGTCTGCAGAGCTTTCTGGAGACGCTGGCCTCCTTCTGAGCACTTGGGGATCCAGTGACCCTCTCCTTTCAGAGAGGACGAGGCTGATCTGGTCAAGCTACGGGTTCAGGAAAGATTTCAATTCCTGCCTTAGCTGATATCATCTCTGGATGTTTACTATAAGGAACTGGAGACTGAGAAGTCCTAAGAACAGTTGATGGTGCAGGTCCAAGGGCCCAAGACCCAGGAGAACCAAGGTGTAAACTCCTGTGTGAAAACAGGAAGGGCCAAACCCAGGGGCTGCCGGTTCAGCTCCGTCCCTGGCAGGGAGGGACCAGCACCTCAGTGTCACAGTTCAGCGGGCGGAGTTTCCCCTTCCCAGCGGCCACTTGATGTCCTGTGAGGGCCGTCTGATGACAGGCCTGGGGACGGCAACCTACTTTGCTCTGTTAATCTCAACCTCAGACACTTACAGACACCCTCGGAATAATGTTTGGCCAGATATCAGGGCGCAGACTCTGGTAGCCCAGTCAAGTGGACACATCAAAGGAACCACCACACCATGTAGTACAAGTCTTACAATTACATGGCCTCCCGTGGCAATTTTTATGTGAATCTGTGGTCTGGGCAGGGAGAGTCCAGGCAGGCAGGAGGGGGGGGGCAGCCAAAACAATAAGAATGTTAAGCAGGACTGGAGCATTCCTTCCGTCATGACAGGACTTTTCCTCTGGCTCTCCCTTCCCATATAGCCTGCCCACTCCCTGGAGACGCAGTGTCTGCCTCTTCCCTGCCTGCCGCCCCCGCAAATAAAAGAAATCGCTCCCTCCCCAGGCACAGCTGCTCCCACACCTAGGTATCTGCTCCCTCCGCCTAGCTTGCTTCCTAACTGCTAAAACCACACCGGGCAGTGTCTTCCTTGCCTCCAGCCCCCGGGTGCCTCTGGAGGCCCAGCCTTCCCACGCTGCTGTTTTACGCATTACCCACAACATCAAAAATGTTCCACTGGCGGTTTCAAGATTCCTCAAAAAACAGATTCAAAACATCTTTCATACTCTCTGAAGAAGCAATATATCACAGGAAAAGCTGTAACCTTTAGTGTTGCTGATGCTATCCAGGCTGCGGGCTGGCGAGGAAGGTACTGCAGACAATTCTTATTCTGCGTGGCTGCTGCTTGGAGGTGCAGGGCCCGTCCATCCGTCCCCCCACCGTCCACACTCCCAAGTGAGGAAGCTGTTGAATTTCCAAGTATTTGCCTAATGCCCTTTTATATAACCTGAAAAGAGTCCCAGGACTTGAAGGCAATATTTTCCAAGAAACAGCCTTCCCCCATGAACACAGTAGCCCTGAAAATAACACCGCCCGTCTCTAAAGCAATAACCAGCCCTGCCCGGAATGCGTCTGCCTGCCTTTTTCCTAATACAGCCGCGAGCAAGGAGCTTTGCAAAGCCAGCTGGGCACAGGGAGAGCTAAATGAATTGTTAAGGGCTTCCGATGACCTAAAGCCAGCCAGCACAAGCCGCAGTCGTCGAGAGGCTGGCGGAGACCTCTGTGTCCTGTGACGCCCCCAAGGGTCTGAATCAGGGGCTGCTGCCTGGCCCAGGCCGAGGCGGCAGGAGATCGGAAAACATGCATTGGCCGTTATTCATCCTCGTTTCTTTCTGAAGGTTAATGTTGTGGGCAATCACAGAGAGCTGAGAGGAGGGGACAAAGATAGGAAACAGAAGCCTTCCAGGAAGTGAAGTTTCCTTTACCTTTGGTAAATAAAACTGTGCTCCTGTTTTCACAGGATAGTTCTGTTTCGCCAGCTTCCACTTCAGAGGAGGCTGGCAAATATGCTGTGACTCCTACCAAGACAGAAAACTCGGAAATGGAGAACAGGAACAAGACAGAAGTTCCTATGTGCTGCCTGCCCAGATCTGAGTGGGCCTTACCATGAGTGACCCTGGGAACAGGGCCAGAGTCATACTGACCTGATGCAAACCAGGGAACCATCCCCTCATGTGCTCTGTGTCCATAGGCAGGTTGCTAGACTTCTCTGAACCTGTTTCCTGACAGTGCCCATCGTAAATAGTTCATGGGATCAATAAGGATGATGGACGCTAAAACCACATGCCTGGCACAGACCCACCTCCAAAAGTGATAGCTTTTATTATTCTCGTTATTCTAGAAAATGTCTTTGTGAGTTGTTTGCTTGATGATTGAAACCATGTTTCTTTTTAATAAAATCTTGATTTAAAAAAGGCCTGCGGGCACCTCTGTTTTCTTTATCCAGTGGAACAGGGAGTGTGTCGGGGACAATATTTAGGGACTCATTAAATCTCTCATTCTTTAGTTTACGTGGCTATGATTGCCTTTTCCCTCTCATCTCACCCTGGCTCCTGCTGTAAGAAGGTTAGTTTGGGTAAAATGGGAGTTAGCAACTTCGGCAGCCTCTCTGTCCTGGAACTGGAGGGTAGCATGAACGCCAGGCGGGGTGTGAACTTCTGTAGGGCTCACCAGGAGACAGAGCCGTCTGGTCCTGGGGCGGCCAGGCAGAGGGTGGGGGAGCCACTGTGCGGGCTGCAGCTGGGAGGGAGAAGGGTAGCGTGGGGGTGTGCGTGTGTGACCCAGCTAAGAGGCCCATTCTTGCCCAGGGAGACTGACCCTTGCAATCCCTAAAGAGAAGGAACAAAGGGCACCAAGCCTGGAAAAGCAGAGGTCACCAGGAACCCAATTCCCAAACGAGAAGCAGAGGGGGTCCTGTGGGACCCAGCAGCAGGGGTGGGGATATTTGCTTACAGGACAGAAAGGAGCAGAGGCTTGCCACATGAGGAACAGTGACGTCGAAGCGCCCCAGGGCTGGTGGGTGGGCCCAGTCACACTGATGTGGTCATTTTAATCCAGTGTCTTCAGCACAAGCCCTGTTGGTGCAGTGACCTACGGGCATGAAGCCACCTAGACCGGAATAATGGGTTTTCTCAGCGGGCCCACAGGAGCTGCTGCCTCAGCAACTTCCCTCCGCCCAGAACCCCTGGTCCAGACGTGGCTCGTGTGCCCCTTCGAGGGGTTGCGTGGCTGCTGGTAGGAGTCCAGCACCTCCCCAGGCAATGACCAACGCTGCTTTCTCTGGGCACCTCTCACAGCCAAGCACAGCAGACAGACATGGGCCCAGAGCTACAGGGAGGGCAGGAGAGGGCACAGCTGCCTGCTCCCGAATCAGGGTCACACACAGAGAGTCCAGTTTCAGAGAGCGTGGAGTGTGTTTACAAAAAGAGCAAGAGTCCCAGACCGTTCCTGTCCTCTGTGAGATGGGAATGATGCTGTCCACTTCCAGGCGGTGAAGGCGAGCTTTAGTACCTGAGAAGGCCTGGCGCCCCGCAGGCCCGCAGTGCTTACCCTACCAACAACGCCAGTGCCTTCTCAGAAAAGTGACTGGAGGGGACCCAGAGGAAGAGCTGAGCTGAGAAAGGAAGTGCATATTCCAGGGCTGAGCAACAGGGTCAGAAAGGACCTGATGGCCTAAGCAGAATTTTGGAGGAATCTGTTTTGATGGAGGCACGGCTGGCCTACATCTGCAGGCAGCAATGGACCCTGATTCCGGTCGTCAGTCCCTGGGCTCAGGGGCCCCTCAACTGTGCAGGTGCACTGTCACAGCTTCTCACCTGGCTGGCTCTGCTGCAGTCACGTGGCTCCTAGCTACTTGCTCCATCACCAGCCCATGCCTGCCTCAGCCTGAGTCTGCAAGGTCCTTTCTTCTGCTACATGTGAGTCATCCTTTCTTATCTCCTTAGGTCTCAGTTCAAAGGTCACCTCAGTGACTTTGTTCCTGATCCTATTATTTAAAACTGCCCACCCAACATTCTTTATTGTGCTTATAAATATTAGGGTGTGTGATTCCAAAGAATGTGCCTTCTCCCTGTTTTGAGTAGAGTTTCCTGTATGTATCCATTAAGTCATATTATATTTTAAAATCTTGTCTGCTTTTCCTTATTACTTTTACTTTCTTTTTGTTCTCTTATTTAGAGAATGTGTTAAAAGTCTTCTACTATGATTGTGGAGTTAAAATTTTTTCCCCCTGTAATTCTATCAATTTTTGCTTCATCTATTTTGAGGCTATGTGCTACGTTCCCAGATGTGGGTAATTGCTGTATCTTCCAGGTGAACCGAGGTGGGTTGTTAAAAATAATTATGGAATATTCTTTTGTCTTAAAGTCAATTTTCTTTGATATTCATGTAGCTAGCGACATCTGATATTTTGCATGTTATATCCTCTTTTCTATTCTTCTACTTTTAATCTTTCTGTATATTTTTGCTTTTAATGTTTTTTCCCCGTCTAAAATAGCGTACAGTTAGAATTTAAAAATTTTTCTTTTGGTCGGAGCATAGAATCTGATGTAATGATTAGTACAGTCAGGTTTAAGTTTATCCTTTTACTTTCTGTTTGCCTCACTTGTTCATGCTTCCCTTTAAAAATCTGCCTTCTTTGGATTAAGTATTTTATGTTATTTCATTGTAATATCCGTTGACATAATAACTCTCAACCTTGACTTATTGAAACCTAATAATGCTTAAACTTGCTTCTTTGTCAGTTCAAGGGCCTTGAAGTAATCAAACGTCATTTACCACCCCCTCATTTCTTTGCTACTTTGCATTTACTTTTCTCCCTGTTGTTGTGTAGAGTCTCTTTTGCATTGCTTCATACAATTACGAACAGCCTTATTTTTATATTTTTATTGTTCTTAATTCCTTCCCTGAACTACAACTTTTCCTCCTTTGAATTAGTTTCCCTCTGCCTTAAGGATACGTTTTAGTATTTCCTTTAGTGTAGAATGTCTGTTGACCAATTATCTCAGTGTGTGTTTGTCTGAACATCTTTTTTTTATAATAAATATATATATATATATTTTGTAGCTGTAGATGGCATGCCTTTATTTTATTTTTTTTAATGCAGTGCTGAGGACCAAACCCAGTGCTGCACATGTGCTAGGCAAGCACTGTGCTACTGAGCTATAGCCCCAGGCCCTGTCTGATCATTTTTTTTTTAAACCTTTTTTTTTTTTGCTATTGTTCTAAGGCTGTTTTCACATGGTATAAAATTGTAAGCTAGAAATTTCCTTAAGCACGTTAAAATTGTCCCTCCATTGTCTTTGGATGACCAATGTTTCTGCTGAGGAGTCAGTAATGTGTCTAGTTATTGTATCTTTAAAGTAATCTGTGTTTCTCCTCTACTTTTTAATTTTTTTTCTCTTTGTCTTTCGTTTTATTCACCTTTCTGTGAAAACCTTGATGTAGATTTCTTTTAATTTGGCCTACTTGGAGTTTTAATGCTTACTGAATCTGTGACTTGATGTCTTATTTAACAGGTTGGTCTTGATGTATTTATTTAATGGCTATTGTCTTTTGAATCATAGCTTTTTGCTAATTTTCTTTTTCCTGTTTATCTGGACTTCTATTATATGTATTTTAGAGCTTCTTGTCATGACTCTAGTGTTTCTTAGCTTCTTTTTTCTGTATTTTTCTTGTATTTCTGTACTTGATGCTGGATGTTTTTCTTATCTGTCTTTCAGTTTGTGATTCTCTCTTCAGCTGCATTTGCTAAAACTACTGTTGAGTTGCTTAGGAGTATTGTGAGATTATTGACACTTGGTTCTTTAAAAAAAATAGTTTCTGGTTTTCTGCTGAAAACTCCAATTTTGTGTTTTAATTCCTAAACATGGTAAAGTGTAGCTATTTTAAAATAATCTGATAACTCCAATATATCTGAAGCTCTGTTGGTTTTATCTAGGGGTGGTTGTTAACATTGCCGTCTTATGTCTGGTTATTTTCTGTTGTGTTCCACATTCTGTCATCACATTGTTTTTTTTTTTAAATTTTTTAGTTGTAGATGGACACAATATCTTTATTTTATTAATTTATGTGGTGCTAAGGATTGAACCCAGTGCCCCACGCATGCAAGGCAAATGCTCTATCACTGAGCCACAACCCAGCCCTCATCACATTGTTTGTAAAATAATTTCATGCTTCGAATGATGTTATCTTCCTCCTAAGATTATTTGTTTACTTCTGTTGGATACGTTAGCAATATGGGATCATCTTAATTCAGAGTGACTTGATACAGAGAGGCAGCTCCAGAGAAAGCCAACATGCAGCATTCAGAGCCCCAACTCACAGCAAGTGGAGGAGTCACTGTACCCACTGGCCTCTTGGCTGACTCTGGATCCCAATTTGGGCCTTTTGACACTGCAAGGCTGCTGCAAGGAGTCCTGCTCAGCTTGCCACTGCCCCTTCAGAACTAGAAAATAATCCTAGGGGATAACTGGCTGTAAACTTGAAGCTTACCTCCATGGGTCGCTTTCCTTCCCCAGATCCCAACTCAGTAGCATTTCACCATCTCATTAGTTCTCCAGTGCCGTCAAGATGGTGGCCATTACACATTGCCAACTTTTCTTGTTTTCAGTGGAAGGCTTGGGCTGAATTCCTTCATTGACTATTTTGAACACAGAACTCACTAGCACTTATTACCAACTAACATACTATATATTTTTGTTAAGTATTTTCTTCATTGTCTGGCTATCCATTAGAAGGTAAGCTCTACAAGGGCGGTAATTTTTGTGTTTTATTTACTGGTCTTTCCAAAGCATATGAAAGTGTACTTGGCACATCCTAGATGCTCAATAAATAGCTGGTGAACGAGTGCATGAATCTAGTTTTTGACTCCACTGCTACAAGGATTTATCCAACAAGCAAGATTTGGAATTTCGGCCTTTGTAGGGACATTTTGAGGTTCAAAAAGGAAGGGGACTTGGGCCACATCTCCATGGTGAGTTGGGACAGAGTCAGGGCTTCTGTATAGCACTCCAGGGCTCTTGTCTCTACTCCACAGAGCTAACCTTTCCTGGCCTAGGATCAAGAGGACCAAGCCCTGCATAAGCCAAAGCTGGAGTGATGACAAAGAACAATCTTCTCATGATATGACTGATGCAGCTGAGAATTCCAGGATCAGAAGCCACACAGGGGGCTGAGGGGAAGTAGGAAATTGAGGAGATGACCATATTTGCAAACTAGCGGTTTGTGCAGTCCATTCTGTAACCTTCTCAAGTTTCAAGCTCTGAGTGGCATTCTAGGTGAAAGATGGAGAAGACATCCACGAAGCTGTTCGGACAGCAGCAGACTCCACACAGTAGCGCACACAGTTTGGGACGAGAGAGGAAGCGGGGAAGTCACTTGTTTCTCCAAACCACACCAGAGCAGATACATCAGG